GAAAAGACTTAACGAAGTAAAATTTCCTAAATACCCCATCATCTAGGCAGCATTCGAGCACAAATTGTTTCAAATGAAATTTTCACACATGTCCTTAGGATTTTTAAGAGGTTTTGAGTAAGAGCTTGAGTAGAGGTTTTGAATGTTTGGTTTTAAGGTTTAGAGGGTTATAAGGCTTGAATTTTAGGATATGAAAGGTTTAGGGTTTTGATTTTAGAGTTTAGAGATTTTATGGTTTGGGTTTTGGGGTTTGGGATTTTGATTTAAGAGTTTAGATTTTAAGGATTTTGGATTTTGGGGTTTGGATTTTTTGGGTTTTGGATTTTAAGGGTTTGGATTTAAGGGATTTTAGATTTTTAGGGATTTCGGATTTTAGAATTTTGGATTTTAGAGGTTTTAGAAACCTAGGATTTTGAAAATTAAAAATTAGTGTTTAAGGTTTTGTTTTTAAGAAAATACGAACATCTTAAAATTCTCTAACATCTAGGCGGATTTTCGAAGCAAGTTCAATTTTAATGATTTTTTTAAAATTAATTAAAATTTTCTTATATATTTTTTATTTTTTTTTCATGAAAATTTATTAATAATAATTCCCTAACATCTAGGCGGAATTATTTCTTTAGAAAAATATTTTTTATTCCCTCCAACATCTAGATAGGAAAAATAATAATAATTAATATTTTTTGAGCATTTTTAATATATATTTTTAATTATTACTTGTTTTTAATTTTATTATTATTAAAACAATTAAACAAAAAAACTTATCCTAACAAATTTAAAACTTATCATACATAAATATAAAAAAAAATCCTTAAAATAACAAAAATAATAATATATAAAATTATCAAAAAAAATTTTTTTACCTGAACTGGATCGTCAATAACGGTTCGGTTGGACCGAAAAAGGTTCGGTTCAGTGGTGGTTCGATTGATCCGGCTAAGGCACTGTTTAGGTCGGTCCAAAGAGTGGTTCGATCTGATCTGATCAAACCGGTTCAGAGCAACTGAAAAGTCGGGTTAACGGGTCGGTTACGTGAATCTCGGGTCAGGTTCGGGTCAACGCGCGGATCCTCTACGCTTGAAACGACGTCGTTTTGGTCATATGCTCAAAACGACGTCATTTTGCCATTATGCTTTCTATAAAAATAAAAATAAAAATTTCAGCTCATTTTCTATTTCAAAGGAAAAATAAAAGGGAGAGAGGACTCTAAGAGAGGTCCGACACTCTCGCCGTCCGACTGCCGGAGCACCGCATCCGTCGGAGCACCGCATCGACCGTCGCCTGTGCCGTCGTCGATGGTGGTCGTTGGTGATCAAAAATTTTGAAATCCTCCTAAAGGCTCTTTTCGACGTGATCTTTCTAGATCCGATCTCCTCTTCACCGAAAACGATCTCGATCAACATAGATGGGGTTCAAAGTTTTTTGTTCTTCTTTTTCATCTTTTTTTTTTGTATTTTGTATTTTTTTTATATTTTTTGTGTATTTCATATTTTGTATTTAATAATATTATTTTTTTTATTTTTTGGGGGCAAAATTGATGTCCATAACACAAACGCCCAAAAACCTCCTAGCACCTACACTCAAACCAAGTCTCCCACGTCCAAAACCCCAACGCTTAGCGCCCAACGCCACCACAACACCTTTAAAACCCAAAAGTCAAACTTTCACCGCACCCTACCAGAAATCCAAACCTAGTGCCACATATCCATTCCCTTCACTTGAAACCACCACACCAGCCCCCAACAAAAACCCTTTATCCACTGGAAAGCTAAAAACCCAAAGCCAAATAAAAAAAAATAACAGTCCTCATCACATGGAAGAACCCAGCACCGAGCTAATTGCAAACACAAGAAATCATCATCAGTTTCATTTTATTAAAAAAAATTAAAAAAATTTAAAAAATTTAGTTTAAGTTTTTTTTTTAAAAGAGACCGAAAACTTCAAGCATCGATTTACGACAATCAGAGACATTTTTTATGAATGAGACACCGAATCTGAAAAAAAGACGAAGCAAGGAAGCTTTGGGGTGTTTTGGAGGCTTTTTCGACTTTAGTGATCGGTGGGTGACTAACTTCTGGCAGTCGACCAACCTTCTGTTTTTTTTTGTTAAGAAAGAAAAAATGAGTTTTTTTTTTTCTAAAGAATGGGGGAAATGAGCTAAAAAAAAAGAACCTTTATATAGAAAGCCTAATCCCAAAAACAATGTCGTTTAGACTAAGAAAAATCCGTGCGTCAACCTAGATCCAACCCAGAATCAGTGCAAACTGACTCGACAACCCAGTGTCCTTCAGTCTTAAATCAGTTCGATCGAACCTTTACAAACCGCCCCTATTTGGTTCAACCGTACTGAACTGCTGAGCGACTTAGATCGACGTTGACAGGATCGTTGACTGGTTTGATTTAGGTTTTTTGTTTTGAATTTTTTATTTTTTTTATATATCATTATTTTTGTTATTTTGAGTTTTTCTTTAATATTTATGCATGATAATTTTTTTAAATTTGTTAGAATAAATATTTGGTTGTTTTTAATAATTACAAAATAAAAACAAAGTAGGATAATAACTAAAAAAATACTAAAAATGCTAAAAATAATAATAATAACAATCTAAAAAAGTGATAATAACAATAAAATAATATTTTTTATTTTTTCTACCTAGGTGTTGGAGGGAATAAAAATCTCAAACTCTAAAATATAATTTCGCCTAAATGTTGGAGAATTATATAAAAAAAAGCATAACAATAAAAAGTATTATAATAATAATAATAATAATAATAATAAATTTTCATAAAAAGAAATATATAAAAAGCTTTAATTAATTTTCAAATTTTATTAAAATTGAACTTGCTCCAAAAGTCCGCCTAGATGTTGAAGATTTTTAGAGATGTTCGCGTTTTTTTCAATTAAAAAACCTAAACCCTAAAATCAAAAACCTAAAACCAGAACTTTAAACTCTCCAAATCCCAAAACTAAACCTTAAATCCTCTAAACCCAAAATCTTTCAAACCCTAAAATCAAATCCCCAAATCCTCCAAACCATAAAACAAATCTCTAAACCCTTTAAACCTTAAAATTAAACCCTAAACCCTTCAAGTCCTAAAATCGAAACCTTAAACATCCAAACCCTAAAATTGAAACCTTAAAATCAAAATCCCAAATCTCAAACCCTAAAATTGAAGCCTTAAAATCGAAACCCCAAATTTTAAACCCTAAAATTAAAACCTAATCCCCAAACCTTAAAATTAAAACCCTAAACTTTCCAAACCCTAAGATTCAAGCCCTAAACCCTCAAATCCTAAAATCCAAAATTCTAAAAATCTAAATTTCGTACATGAATAATGTGATCAAATTTGATATAAACTAAATGATGATTTTCAATTTTGGTGCCGAAGACCAAACAAAATCTGGTTTTGTAGACAACGAAAAATCAAGGTTGAATGAATTTGTTCAAAATTGTGAATTAAAAACGTTTAGAATTATTCCTTATTTGGAAAAAAAAAAAAGGCCATTTTAAGGTGGAACTTTCCCATATCATGTACTATACATTTTGATCAGGAAAATCTTTTCCAACACTTAAAAATGCAACCAAAGATGGGAATAATGTGATATTAATCTTGATATAATGATTTTTATATTTGTATCATATAAAATATTAAAATTTATATATTTATATCATATTTTATATAAAATTATATGTCACAATTCTCTTCAATACAAAAATATAAGATATATTTTTTTGTTTTATTAAACTCATATATAGTTATTACTAAAATTTTAAATTGTATCATTTTTATATTTTATTTTTATATCATATTAATATTATATTATTGTGTCCTATTTTAAATTGTTAGGGTAGAAAAAAGGGGAGAAAAAGCCAACAAAATGGCCTGTTAAAGACTTGAATTGAAACCTTGGAAAGATGAGAAAGAGATAAGATACCTTTGAATTTACACTCTGACTTGGAGACCAAGAGGGAAAAAAAAAAGGGTTTAAAGAGTTGAAAAGTGATTGAGCTTTTGAGTTCAAATTTTGCACTTCACCTTTTATTGAAGTTTTGTCCAACAATTGGATAATTAATGGTAGTATTAGAAGCTAGTAATTTGTTTTGTAGAGGAAAGACACTAGGAAAAAGACGAATTGATAAGATGAGAAAAAGAATTTAGGTTCAAAGCCAACAAGTTGTTTGTTTAATTCAATGTGCTGGACTGCCCCCATCAAAGTTGAAAATAATCAAAATACAGGGTAATGGGGGCAGCCGCAGCCAGCCATGAACCAACCCAATGTCTTCATTTTCCCGCTGCTAGAATTAAAACTAACCATAACAGATGATGCACTAACAAAACAACCAAAAACAGGACATAATACCTGGTATACTGGATCATATAAATTCCAGACAGGCATATGCATCCAGATTAGTAAATAATAGGGGTGAGGAATAAAAATTGAAAATTGATTTAAAATTATAATATTCGGATTGATTCATATCTTTTTTATTCAATTCAATTTGGATTTAAGTACTTTTATGTTTTAATTCAATTAGATTAGATTTTTGGATAAAAAAACAAAAATAAAAAATATCTTAACTTAATCTAATTATATATTTTTATTAATTTTTATGCCTATTTTAAATTTTTATAAAGTAAAAATAATTATTTTATATTTAAATTTATTTAAAATAATAATTATTATTATTATTAATTAATTTTGAAAATTAATAAATCAAATTAAAATGATAAAATTTAATTTAAATTAATTTAATTTTTAAAAAATTAATTTAACTTTTTATAATTCATAATATTATGTACAACTTAAAATAATTAAAACAAATCCGATCTGATTTGACAAGTATAATAAATAAATGACGCTAGTAAGTAAAGACATAGGCACTTGTCAACAACTGCATGGCTGTTAATAAAGTATTATATTTTTAATTTTAATTATTAATATTCAAATTCTGAAAGCATCGAGTAAACAAAAAAAACGTAGACACTTCGAATTTTGAAGAAATTTACATTTATATAATCAGGATGTTCATAAAAAAGTTACTCCTTTTCGGAGGAAAGAAAACAAAGAAAGAAAAAAAAGAAGAAAAACTAAGAACATGCTACAAAAAATAATATTGATGATATAATGGCTCCTCATCAACTATAATGATCAAAACTGTGACATACTAATGAAATATCAGTCTTGTAATATTCTATAACATAATAGATTATTGCATTATTATTGGACCTATACATGCCAGGAGCATGTTGCTTAGAACAATCTGTACTTCGCCCGAGCTATGCTCACTCCGAACAAGATCTATCAACAGATGAAAGAAATTTGCTATGTACTTTCTAAAGGAATCCTTCTCCAAGCCACTCAATGCCTTCAATGTTGACACAAGTAAAGGAGTTCTAGCCACCAATTCTTCCCTCTTGGCTAAACCCAAAGGAAGAATCCAACGGGTCACCAGCCTGTCAACCGATTTCTGTTGCATGTAGTAGTAATCAGTACAGTTAAGGTATATCTGCAATATTTTTTCACACACTGCCACAAGTAGTGATTCTAGATTCAACTCCTCCGAGACAGATGGATTATTTTTTACTAAATCTTGGAGGAAGTTGAGGTAGTTTTGATAAGCCTCGTTCTCAAAGTGAACCATAGGAGGATCAGAGAGCTCCAAGATTGAGCACGCTTTCTGTATTCTCTTTTGCAGTGCAGTCCCAGAGTTCAGTTGCTGAGCATGTGATGAAATTGAGGAAAATATCTCAACAATGATATTGATATTGGCAGCGGACAAGAATTGTAGGTGTTTTTTGTACATATCAGTTATAACCTGAAATGATGAAGCCAAAACAAATATGGTTATGTCACATGTTTCTATGGCATAGTAAAAAATAGCATGCAAGAATATTGCTTGTAATGAGAGAACCTGCAAAATGAGCAGCTGGATGGCAATATGACTCTTCATTCTTGAAACCACATGGGCCACAGTTTGCAGATTATCATCCTCAAGATCATCATTTGTTAATTCATGATCAGAACTTGTTTCAGTATTAGAATACGATTGAGAATTGTCAAGCACCTTGATGTCATCCATGGTTCTCAAAAGCTTCAAAAAGTCTGGCAACGTTGACATGGCTGCTTCTTTTAAAGCTAGAAATATTTGTCGCCATTCATCTTCTGAAAGTCCGCTTTCTAACTCTCCTGTCAAACGAAACATCACCGTAACCCCAGTGCTTGCAGGACCCTGTATTGAACTTTTTAAGTATCCTGTCAGCACAGATAACACATTTGATAGCTGGGGCCTCAATACATTATAAAAACTAATAAATAGATCTACTAGACACTGTGCTGCCACAGCAGAAGTTTCAGTGTCCCATGTACTTCCATCAGGATGAGGAGATTTCAAAGTTGGTGAATCCTTCTCATCTTTTACAGCCATGTCTCTCTTTTCGCACACACCATTGAATATGGGGAGAACAACAGAACTAAAAACACTATCCCAGAATGTTCGTGAGAAAAGATGACCATGATCATTCAGTATGTTGAAAAGCACTTCCAACGAACTCTTTCGGATAGCTAATCTTGAGTCAGATGTTAGTTTTGATAAACCTGAAACAACATATCAAAATTCTATAACTTCGAAACAGGAAAGGCACTTATGAAATGTTAAAAACTAAAGGTGATAACAATCATGTTGCCATTCAGAGAGAAACAGTTACAAAGCAAGTTGAGGTTTTTTTTTTTTTTTACATTCAACATGGTAAATACGACTTTAACCTAAATTGGAAGCAGTTTGTTGGATTAGCGAAGGCAATTGAATCAGGAGGAGTCACATACAACACCTCAGTACAGAATAAATTGCTGATAAGAGGCCCAAAACAGTGGGGTGTAAGCAAGGGAAATCATGAAAAAGGATCCTGTGCAATGATTTAAACAACAAAAATGGATATCTCTGACATGGGGCTTAAACAGGGAGTGTGATGGGGCAAAAAAGTAAAGTGCAACAAGAGGAAAGATGACATATACATGTTGAACTACTCGTTCAAAGAGTATAGCATCCATCAATCAAACATGTTATGTGAACCATATATAATATAACCAACTTAGTTTTGTATTGTTAAAGGGCACAGTCACACAAATAGCCCATTATGCATCCATATTGCATAACAGTGTCAACAAGGTTATAGGATTTGCAGGGAACTAATCTAGCAGGTTACCTGTTAGCAAAGGGACCCAACAGGATCCATGATCATCAATATCAGTGAAACTTTGTACATCTGAATCATCCTTATTTACAATTGAAACAGATGAACCATCATCTGAGCTCTTATCAGTGCAAACAAGTCCTCCCTCAGCAAGTTTGGCAGCACAGAATCGGAGAAATGCAATAGCATTGAGGCTAACATCACTATTAAACCTGCTATTTGTGAACTTGATGAGGCATCTTACACAATCAGTTAAAGTGGCAGCCTCTGTCTCAGTTATACGAGGAAAGTACTCTCGCACTATTTTTTCCGTTGTCTCAAAAGCCAGTAAGACAATATTCATACGCTCATCTGCAGCAGCAGCTGTGAACACCTGAGAAAAGGACAGAATTGTGTGAAAAGAAATGCTATAAGAGCTACATGACAATAGAAATCTTATATGAGCCCTTAGCATACCACAAAAACACTTTTCCATCCAGATTTCACATTACTGACACGGCTGAGGACCATCTGAGAAATGCATCGAACTATTAATTCCCTTATTTCTGGAGAGTTGCTTTTCTGCATAACAATCACAAATGGTTTCAAAAATTCATTCTGGAAATTGTAATTTGCAAGCTCCTCGCGTTCTAAGAATTTCATAGCAAGCTGCCGCAATGAATCCATCACAAAAATTGCTACAGATAAATTCTCAGACAATCCAACCAAAACAAAGAAATCAGAGAGAACATTCCACATGCGATACCAAACTAATCTGATGCGGTTCATATTGTAATGCCTGCAATAGAACATTGTAGGATAAGGGTTCTCCATAGACACACAAGGGAAGGAGATAGACAGAGATAGATGCACTTGAGAGAGCGGGAAATTTTATCTGTGAGGGTAAAAACTTGAGATTCGTTGGAGTAGCATTATAGGAAATTTTCTAAAAGAAAAAGACAAGAATCTTACGCAATTTCAACTAGTTTTGTGAGGCTAAAAACTCGAGGATCTGTTGGAGACTGCAATTCTGATATAGAAACTTTGCAAAGAGCTTTCACAAATGCCACTATTGCTTCACTGTTTAACCTTTGGCTATGTGCAAAAACATGGTTCAACTCGAAGTTTCCTATCTGGTCCAATAAATTCAAGTTAGCAATGAAGTGATTAATCTGCTCTGGAGAAACCAGTCCAGAACTATTGACTCCAACAGTGGTGCTATCATAAGAACCACCTCGGACAACTGCCATTACAGCTGGATTCTGGAGGGTTCCTTTTTTCTTCAGAGATTGAAGACCAACGGATTTGGTCATCTTTTCGTCTGTTTCAGTGTCAGACACAGATAAAAAGGATGCATCATTTGGTGCACCTTCTCCCAACAGTTGCAAATGCTCAATTCTGGACAGGCATGTCAATATATGCTCCCAGGCTTCCAGAAGATAGTTACCATCTTCAATGGCGATAGAAATTATTGCCTGCATACAGTAAAATGTTTCAACAAGTGAGATATAAAAAAGAACATCCATATGCATGCAACATGCATTGCTAACTAGATTCAATGCATTAACTTTTCACACTCCCTTTACTAACAAACAATTGGAAAACTTTTATTATTCAACCATCACAGTTTAGGCTAATTGGTAATTATCCATGCATAGCCTCGTAGGCTTGTAAAACACAACCCTCTATGACTAACCTAATAGGCAAATAAAGTGCAACCCTCACTGAGGTTGCCTGCTTCAACTTATTGTTTATCAATGATTACTTAAATGATAAAACAAATATCACGCAAATGGCCAAGAAATTTATACATAATCATATTCACTATAAAGTGACCACACTTACAATTCATGATGCTCGCTAACAAAAGTTTAAAAATTGCATTATATTAAACAAAGGCCACAAGAGCAACCAAAGACTGAACATCCTCAGGCATCCTTGAACTGATTATTTCAACTTACTAGATTATCAATGTTCCATAACCAAGCAAACACAAGGAGAAGGAAATAAAAAGCATAAAAGTATAATGCACACAGCAAATGAATTTTATATTATCTGTGGCGGGAGGCCATAAGTGCAAACATTCAGATGCAGCAATTCTAACTCTTCCTGTGATATAGCATACAAGAATACCCAGGGAAGATTCTATTCTTTGTTATTATCGCAAACAAATACTAATTACCTTTACAGCATCAACATTCTTTTGTTTCATATCTGCAGCACAATGGAGAAAAGTGAACTTTGCCACAGATGTGACAAAAGCATCTCTCTGCGTCTGCATGCCCATTACTGCAGTTACATGCACAGCATATCGAAAGCCCTGTAAGCATTGAGTGGTAGCAAGTCTATCATCACTCTGGTCAAGAGTGACACTAAATGCAGCCAGCATAGGTCCCCAGCAGACCTCCACCATAAACCTTACGATTGCTATATCTGAAACAGCATGATAAACAAGCCTGCAACAACAAGAAAAAAAAAAAAGGCTACAATTAACAAACATTAGTTCTAGGTCTTCTGGGATATTTGGGATGATAAAAGAACAAAGAATATATTTAAAACAGAAGCAGGATGGAGAGAATATATAGAGGAATATACAAGAACTGAATTCTCTTTGTTTAAGGATGCATGTTCATTTCTCAGACTTTTATGCCAGCATCAACAAAATCAAATGACTTCATTTCCCAACCAACATATCACAACCTATGGCATGCAAAAAAGGTACTATAGCATCTCTAATCATATATAAAAACATGTGAAAAATTCATCTGGAGCTCACAGATAAATGGTAAGAAGGAAAAATAAACTGTCAAAACTATAAAAGAAAAAAAAAAAAACTATGATTCAAGACATAACCAATGTATGACCTATACAATTGCCAAACTTCTACTATTCCTTGCCCAACCAATCATCTGATCTTGGAAGGAGCAACCTTAAAAATTAGACTAAAAACTTACTCTGATTTTCCTGACTTTGCCTTAAACTGCTCTTGAATATGTCTTATAAGAAGCCCATTTGCACCCAATGGCCTTTCTTCTGTTTGCTTCCAACTGACCAGATTCAGTATACCATCCAAACCCAATAACTTATTTAAGCTGTTTGCGTGCTTGCTTTGTGGAACAGAAGAATCAGCATTCATCTTAATTTCATTTTTCACAATCTGATCATAAAGAGCGCCAAGATACTCCTCAGGTAAATCCTTGCCATCATCTATTCCTCGGTTGTTTCGGATAAAATCAGACTTGGTCATCTGAATACAGTAGCAACATATAACAGAAATGATAACAGAACTGAATCTATTGTAAGTTTATCTATGTACAATTAAAAACATAATTCACAAGAGTACAAAGAAAATTCCATGTTATTGACTAGAAAATTTTGAAACACCAGAATGGCTTATAAGCCCCAGAAAAGATCAGAAAGGTTCTTCAAAAGACAAGTACATATGTAGCAAGCATGTAAAACAAAAGCTCACAATTTAGTGATGTTCCTAAGAAACAAAAACAGGTTTGACAAACAAACCTTATCTTTGACCATGTTATTATGGGCATCAGTGTTGAGCAAGATGACAGAATATGCCAGAACATAGGCAGTATCTGCACTAGTAAATGAGTTTGGATTGCATTTACAATAGCGCTCGGCAAACTTTTCCATGATGCGGTCAATTTTCTGTGCCTCTCCTGGTAACCTGAAGCCACGTAGGAAGAACCTTATCGATTCACCAAAATCCATAGATTTGAAATTAAAGGAATCCACATAAGCATGCATAACTCTTAGAGCAAATTCCTCCCTTTCACCCAAATAATCACCAATCATGGTTTCATTCAGCCCAGTAGTGTTTTTCTTCAGAAAAGAAGCCACTTCCTCTGGAGAGTTGCCAACTTTTTTGGTGTTTATAAGAAACTCGATGCCTTTGGATGGCTTCCTGTTGAACAATGAGACACTGTTCTGCATGTAACCCAATGAAGCTGTCACTAAAAACTAAGCTTGTGAAGAAAAGGAGAAAACTACATAGCTAATAAAGCTACAAAAAAATTGAAAGAATATAAGTCAATAGTAATATGGCAAATTATCATGATATATAAAGGCAGCCATCTGTGACAATTTGGGTACTAAATAAGTATGTGCTAATTGAAGATACAGCCATGCTTTACGGCTTAGTTAAAGCAATAACTAACCTGGAGTTCAATCTTGTAAGCTCGGCGTTGCTCAAGTGTAGCAGCATCTGACAATTCAGAATTCATTTCTGGATGCAAGTCGCAATCAGGGACAGTTCCATCTTCTGCAGTCGGGGTTGAATGGCTCTCTGCTGAAGTGTCACTCTCGAAGCTCTTAGGCAAGTCAGAATCACCTATCTTCAGCTGTTGGTCCATCCAAGCTCCCATTGACTTAATAATACCAACCAAGCACTTCACTGATTCATGACGGAAAGTAATATCCTGGACTGCAGACAAAGTTGTGGTTGAACCAGGTGGTGGCCCTAGAGCTGTTTTCAGAAGGCCATTGACAATCCTGCAAATATCTGATGGAATTATAACAGTTTTAATACATTTTACTAAAGTGAGATGCATTAAGAAATAAAAGAGAATGAGAAATTAGAAAAAGAATTACATTAGAAAATATTCTAAAGCAAGCTCTGAGAACATCACCAAGTGACAGGTGCTCCAATTAATTCCTATGTTGACCTGCCTTCTTTTTGGAAAATTTGGCAAAAGGTTTTAAATTCATATACGATTTTACATTGATTTGATTACAAGAGGTCTAATACATTTTGCTAAAGTGAGAAATCAAGAAATAAAAAAGAAAGTGAAATCAAAATAAAAGTACATTAGAAACAAAGCTAAAGCATGCTCTGAGATCGTTAACCAATAACTGATGCTTGAGTTAATTCCTATATTTACCAACCTTTTGCAAAATTTGAGAAAATGTATCAAATTCATATAGGATTAGAATTAGACCAGCACTACATTGCAGGACTATTTTTTTTTTTTTAAATTATGTTTTAAATATAAGAGAAGTAAAATTTTTATACCAAGTTTTAATGAATAACAAAACATAGACAAATATAAATGTATTTATTTTTTTAATATAAATTATAACTTAATTATATAAATGTGATTTTTATTAAATTAAAATAGTGCATAATATTTTTATTAATATAATACATATAAAAATACAAATTAAATAAATAATAAAATATATTCTTTCAGCCCAAACCAATCCCAAATTGACCCAAATTGTTCAAAAAGGAAAAACTTAACCCAATCCTTATTTAAAAAAAGCATATCAATTGGATCGTGACAAATTGAAACTCATAGGTTATAGGTTGTTTTGTCATCCCTACATCCATTTATTTTTCTCTACAAAATTTATCTAATAAATAAAATTTTAAAAAACAAAGAAAATGACCAAAAAAAAAAAAGAAACCACACATGGATTTATTAAATTTACATATTAAATAATACTTTTTAATTAAATACATATATAAATATAGAATTAAATAAATAATAAAATATATTGTTATATATACCAAAGCTGAAGCATAATACCCAAAACTTTACCTTTATCCAAGCTTGATTTAAAAAAAAAAATCTTAACCCAATTATCTCGAATTAAAAAAAAGCACACCAATTGGATTGGGGCAAATCGAATCTCATTGAATACAAATTATTATGTAAAATTTATCTAATAAAAAAAAAAGAAAACAAAAAAAAAGCTTTAAAATAAGAAAATGAAAAAAAAAAAAAAATGGAGACACCCAAGACAGGACAAAAGACTTTGTATCCATCTGCAACCCAACATCATTTTAAAAAAAAAACACGTCAACCTGATCTTAATTTTTTTAAAAAAACGTACTTATGCTAGATTGATGCAAATCAAAACCAATTGAATACAGATTATTTTATCATTCTTACCTCTATTGATTTTTTTTTTTTTTACAAAATTTATCTAATAAAAGATAAAATTTTAAAAAATTAAAAAAATTAAAAAAATGGATTTAATAAAAAATAAAATTTTAAAAAATTGAAAAAAAAGTAAAGAATGGAAGAAGGATGGGTGCCAGGTGGACACCGTCTCTTTCCTCCATTCTCTACAAAATTAATATATTCATCAATAATAAAATTTAAAAAGCCAAATAAAAAATTTACCAAACAAAAAAAAATGGATTTGATAAAAAATAAAATTAAATAAATAACAATAAATAAATAAATAAATAAGTAGACAATGAAGGATGGGGTGCCACGTGAACACCCTCTACTTCCTCCATTCTCTACAAAAGTAATAATTTATAAATAATGAAACTTAAAAATATAAAAAAATGGATTTAATAACAAATAAAAAAAAGTAGAGAATGGAAGAAGTATGGGATGCCACGTGGATACCCTCTCCTTCCTCCATTCTCTACAAAATTAATATATTAGATTTCACATATGATGTGTTGTACACATCTATAGAAAATTGACTTGATAAACATACTTGAGGACATGGATCCAGCACTAACATCAAACAATTAGACAAACAATTATTAGGGGAAAAAAATACCTTTCAAATATGTTTGGTGAATCCACATCGCAGTCATAGTTCACAAATATATCAATGATAATCTGTGAATCCCCCACAATCTTTTCCAACAAATTAAGGACAGTCATTTTCTGTACAAAACTTGGCTGGAGAACATTCTCTAGAACTCGGAGGATTAGCATGGGAAAGAATATTCCAATTTCAGCTTTCAACCCTGACCTAAATTTTGTTAACAAGGTCACAAAAATAGAACACTGGAGCTGGAAAATTGACATCACTGACAATGCACTGTTTTTTAACAATGATAAGCAGAGATACTGCTTAATTGCATTAAGAAACCTGCATAACGTATCACAGAATATAAGAACACTAGAATAAGTTCAACAGAGGACCTTAGAAAAACAAGTGAGTTCTTTATTGCAAATACTAAATGACATACAAAACTTTCAAGATAAACAATAAATGTTATTAATAAATTATATATATAAAGAACTGATAATGGTTTTGGAGCATTTTTCTTTTTATTTATTTATTGTATCAACTAGCTAAACAAATGATTCTTCAGATAATTCATGAAAATCCCACTTCTTGGTTTACGTAAGCACTTGAAAAGAAAGAGTTATTTGGGAGTTATGAGCACAGAATCGGGAGTGAGTAACTAAGCATTGAAAACAGTCATATGTCTTACACAGGTTCATTCAGGTTTTTCTCAAGTTTCCCTCATATTTGGAGGATCAAGACCCCAAATGAAGTCCGCTTTGAGGTGTTGGATATGTGTCCTGCCACTGCCAGAATTTGGAAAAATGAAACCTAAATACCTTTTCATTTACTCAATTATATGACACCCATATCTTGATAAGATTAGCAAACATAAGACTAAATGTTCATTACCATTTTAAATTTCTTAACACAACAATCATAGTACTAGTAGTAGTAGGCCAACAACTATCTGAAAATTTCTGATAACTATCAAAGATAAAAACTATCTGAAAAATTCAGGTAACTGTCAAAGATAAAGCCTAAAGTATGGCATAATGCAAACAAATTATATCCAATAATAAGTCCATATTTCAAGGAAATAAAAGATCAGAATCCTAGGTGAACATAGTATAGGATGACTTGCCTCTCATTTGAGCGCCAAATTGAACCCCCATTATGCATTATAACCTTGAGGAGTTCCAAAGACACTGTTTTCCCTCTCAAAAGGATCTGATCATCCGGATTCTCCTGTGACGAAAACTTCATGGACAATTTACACAAATTCTTAAAAACAAGAAATCCATCCTCCCTAATTTTACTATCAACCCCACCAGAACCCGATTCCACCCCTTCCTTCGTCTCTTCCTCCTTCTCCTCCCCTTTCGACACCTTAGAGACACCATTTTGCAACTCCTGACCCGTACTCAGCTGCGAAAGCTTCAAATCTGGAACCCCTTCACTGGCACTCATAATCTCGCTGACAAAATTCTGACAGTAATAAATTGAACTCCCTTCATTTAAATTCTTATCAGTAAACTCTAAAAGCTCACTAACCAACACTGTTTTGATAGAATCATCCATGGAATCTTCTTCCGCTCTCGTGAATACAATAAGCATAATCTGAGCAAGAACGGACTTAGCACAGATCTGATTGGTTCCGTTTAAACCGCCTAAATATACGTTATAACAAGTTCTAACGACGTGAAGCAAACACTCTCCACGGATCAAAACGCAGGGGCATCGAACGGCGGAGAGTAAAACTCGTAGCACAGCGAGCTCTACCGATTCCTCGCCAATGCCGCCGACTTTGCAAACACTTTCGACAATTTTGTACAGGATCGAATTGGACATGTAGCTGTCGATCTCGCCGCGAACGACGCCGAGAGAGAATAATTTGAAGGTGCATTCGAGGGCAGGCTCAGCGACTTTGGCGTAATTGGAGTCGAGGGCGAGGAGGATAGGGTTGAGCACAAAGTCGGCGTCGGAAGAGGAAAGGCCAAGTAGAGGAGAAGTCGGATCGGATAAGGCGGTGTCGGAGAGGGTCTCGAGCTTGTCGAGAGCAGATTTGCATGAGGAAACGAGGTGAGAGTGTTTTCGCCAAGCGGCGTTTTTGACGATCTTGTCGAGAGAGGGGCCCAGAAGGCGGCCACACCGCGACGGACCGCCCAGCGTTTGGGAAGCTGACATCACTCTTTAATTGTTTTCAGATCTGTGAAATCTGAACCGAGTGTTAGTTGAAATGCAAATTCATTAGAAATTGAAATGCTTGAGATAGAACCAATCCAGATAAAAGGAAGAAGAAGAGAGCGAGCCTTTTTATTTTGGATAATAATAATAATGACTAATTTGTGGGAGGGTGGACTGCAATTTGATTTGCCTGAGGCTGAGCTGAGGGGGTGTGGGTGGGGAGCCGAGTCGAGCCGACAGATGCGTGCTTGAAAAAACAAGAACTTGTGTTTGTTTGTAAAATTTTTAAATATAAAAAAATAAAATAAAATTCTTTTCTTTCCTTTTTTTTGTTGGTCTGTCGTTTGCCGTGTGGTTGTCACGTGAAGGCTAAGAAACAAAAGCATCCAATCCAAGCATCCAACCACTGATTATTAAATATTAATACCCATTTTTGCGTGTTTAGTCCGTTTATTGGGCCCCTTAAACCTCTTCCATCGCTTTTATTTTTATTTTTTTTAAACGTAGGGGGTAGGGGTGGGGAGGTTCGAAACCCCGGACTTAATGTTTCTTTTAGAGATTCTTTGGCCCCTACGTTAGGAAGCACGAGTATCAACTCTTAGAAGTGAACCTTCCCTTATTTTTAAATTTAAATGATTGTATTATAACGAGTTAATTATATTTTTAATATCTAAATTTTAAAAAAATATATAAATTGATATTTAAAAAAATAAAATATATAACTTATATTTTAAACTTTCAAATAATGTATTATTTCCTTCTAAATTCTACTACTATTAATTTAAATTTCTTATATGGTAAATAATCAATATAATTTTATTATATATATGTTATTTATGAAATAAAAATGTTAAATATTTTATAAAAATATGGCGTGAATATCACTATACAAATAATAATTGATCAATCCCCTAGATAATTTTTAACGATCAAGTAAAAAAAATATATATTTTTACATCCTTTTTATTAAAAATAATATTTAATGTGTAAATAAATAATTTGATAATATTTATCAAATATCGCATATATAAATTGATAAAATTAGTGAGATTGAAGTATGAACTAATATAATTTAAAAGTTTAAGGTATAAATGGTATATTTTATAAAAATATAAGGTGTAAACTGTACATTTTATTTATTTATATGTCAATTTATACATTTTAAAAATTTTAATTAACTATTTATAATTTGGGCAAACACGTGAAAAATATATTTTTTATTTTTATCAAATTTATATGCTTTTTTTTATCAATTTTAAACCATATCATGGTTTTATTCATATTAAAAAAAAAAATTAACCATATCATAATTTTACTCATATTATCACACTGTGTTTAAATTTATCACATATACTTATAAACAAATTGAGGGAAGTTTATTAAGGCAACAAGCACCCGGAATTTTCTATGTTAAACTTTCAAACTTGTACTATTTAAGAGTGAAAACCGTAAAGCACTGCCTAAATTGCGGAATTTAGCGGCATTCAAGCTAATTCATGTTGCCATGATTTACTCCGATGCATCATTACATGTATAGTAGTATTTAATTGAATTTCAGAGTCGTCAACAGCAACACTGCTTTTCAAATGTTAAGCTGGAAAAGCAAATCAATTACGGACACCTTTTAACATAGAATTCCTCTTATGATTAAGAGTACAACATTTGACAAGCGAGCTCTTATGGCAGCATGGCCTATACAGAAACACAACCATGTCCCCAAGGAATGTTAAATTTGAGTCAAAACATTTCAGTGGAAGAAAAATCTCCACATGATTCAAAAATATCCATATGTTAACACTACCTAAATGCTTATCACATTCACAAACGTCAAACCATGATAATATTGAACCATCATCTCATCAATATCTTTGAGAGACAAAAGGGAATCTAAAAAGCGAACCTCAAGCAATTATTAGATTGCGAACTCTGGAACAAAATTTCAATTTGTTAATTTGATATAGTAGCCGCAGACTCCAAAGCAGGCTGATCCTGGTTAAGTGCTTCCCAGTCAAGTTGTCTCAACGCTTCAAACCTTTCTCTCAGTGTCATGAAGCCAGCTTGAGGAGAAACAACACCATGTTTTCCAGCTTTATGGATTAGGATTATACTGGAACCCATATCAGGGCCATGGAGTTTTCCTGTTAGTAACACCCTCAGGGGCATAAAAAGTGATTTCCCCTGCCATGAGTGTTGTAGCAAGGCAAGTCTAAGTTCAGTACCATGCATGGGATTACTATTTCAAGAAGGCCATAAAAGGAAAAATCAAGACCACAAAAAGGCAATGCATAAATTAAAGCCCACCTTGCGCTGCAGAGTTTTGCCAAAGCCCTTTACCCACCTCTGCCAGCCAGCATGGCCCTCTTTCAATGCACCAAGGAGTTCACCACTATCATAGGCAGCTAAGAGGCTGGCAGAAACCTCTGGAAGCTTGTCTTCTACAATAGGTTTACCTTCAGGGCTGCAGAGGATACAGAGTTAAACAACAGAATAATAGAATTTGTTGATGTAACCAAACTCCCACAAATGCTTTGGGCATCTTGTGAGCTATAGTAACAAATGCAGAACATAATTTTGCAGCAGGAAGTCTGAAGATATTATGGCTTTTTCAGATTCTAAACATCCAAAATTCCCAACATTTCTGATAGAATATTCATTTGTTAGCATGAACTCACAAAAACCAATGAACCCACAAAATGGAGAAAGCATAATGTTAGAAAGCTGTGTTCTCGGTTTCTGATGGTCCATGTAATATGTCGAAGCATTTTCAGTATTTGGATCCTAAATTAGAAGTTTAGAACATTAGTAATATCTATACTAAAGGCTTTAACCCCAAGATTATGAGACTGGGAAGAATGAACAAGCACAACCAAAATTGCCATCAAGAAAAGTACCAAAGCCAAAAAATAATACCATAGAGACCAGAATTTAGGGGCAAAAATTCCATAATCACCTTGACAAGGTAGCATGCAAAGGATAAGACAGCAAGTTTGAGAGTGCTGTATCTGAATCTGTTACCAAGTCAATCCCATCCTTAAGCAGCTGAACTGCCTCCTGTTTGGACATATTTACATACCATCATTATCATAATCTATTTGTGCATGATGTTGCACAAATGTAGAATACTTTCAAAATATGTGCTAGAAAGAAACTTACATCTATTAATGGCCCTTCTGATTCTGTGAGAAGACCAGTACTCTTCCAGCGCTCACCAATAAGCTTGGTCAACTCCTCAAAGGGAAGTGCTCTTAAGTGCTGACCATTCATCCACCTTTAGGTTTCATGGGGAAGGAATAAATTAGAAAACTATAGCAAGAGAGCAATATTTAGCAGACAAGAATCAAGAAAGAGATATATTTCAGTATTAGTTCTTCTATTGTCCTACAAGCCTTATGTCATGACAAATTGTAAAATCCATTGTAGTTATCGACAATGATCCCATGTGAATATCTTGATCAAGATTAGAATTTGCATATATCGTACAATTTAAGAAAACAGAGATCATTAAAATATAAGCAAATATAGGAACTTGTAAGACAGTCATGAAATTAGGATATCTTTGGTCTATCTCCCACAGCATGCTATATAAATAACCTGGGCCTGGGTATACTTGCAAAAAGTAACAAAGAATGCAACTTCAAAGTATAGAGAAGTTACCTTAACTTGGTAGAGTCAAAAACAGCACCACTTTTGTTCACACGACCAAATGAGAACTTTTCAACTGTGAATTGCATGAAAAAATATTCAATTGATTAATAGGTCAAATTACAATCATCCAGATATTATCAGCCTAAAGTGATCCTGATTTTGCTTTCCTCATTCCTTTTCTCTCCCTCTATCTTTTCACAGAGAGTGGACAAGGGAGGGCAGGCTGTTTAGGACTTAGGAGTAGAGAAGCATATACATTAGAGCAAGTCCAAGGAAAAACTAACCAAGTTGCTTAATTGTGAAAAACTCATTTTCAGTTCCATCACCCCAACCTAAAAGTGCCAAGTAATTCACCATTGCCTGAGGCAGATATCCCATCTCTCTGAACTGCAACAGTGTAATTGTTAACACAAAGAATTTTAATCCTCAATTTATTGCCACAAAACAAAGTAGAATGAAGATAACTACCTACCTGACCAACAGAAGTTGCACTTGCACCATGGCGTTTTGACAGTTTACTCCTATCGGGTGCAAGAATCAAAGAAACATGGGCAAAAAAAGGCATTGGGAATCCAAGAGCCTGAGATAAAATAATATTTAAATGCCAAGATATGCTTCCTCTTATTGTTGAAAGCAATCAAAAACTCCAAAAGCCACCAAACTCTTTAAAAAAGAGCTGATGCTTTTTAAGATTACCTTGTATATTAAGGCTTGCCTTAGAGTATTAGGTAAATGCTCTTCCGCTCTAAAATGCCAGTGTATAGAGAGTGTGAGGACAAAGAACCAAAAAAAAATAATAATAATAATAAATAAAACAGATATTGGATGCAGTAAAAGGCTAAAACAATTTGACTTCTCTAATTACCTTATAACATGTGAAATAGCCATGGTAGCATCATCAACTGTAACACAAAAGTTGTAAACAGGTTGCCCATTGCTCCTCATTATAACAAAATCTCCAAGTGTATCCAATTTCCAGCTAACCTTCATGACACTATCCAACCAAGTTAGTGCCTGTGTAACTAAATTACAGTTAAGTGTTAAAGGACCACTGAAACTTAAACATAATGAAGCAGCTGAGACAAAAATCCACGGGGTCCCTGCAATGAGAGTCGCCATTTCTGAAACGAAAATGGCGATGAAGCGAAACGCAAAAAGGCTAGGAGAGCAGACTGCTATAAATAGAATCATATAATGACGGTTACAGTCTTGCAGCCGTGCGTTAAGTCCATTTCATGCGAGATGAACGGCTACGATGAATTGAGGGAGTGAATAACAGAATAATGTAAGGTCAATTTTTACATAAATAAATAAAAGGGGCTGCGGTGATCATGACCGTCCATCTATATAGACTTACCGTCCACGATTCCCCTGCTTTGCTTTATGTTATGCGAATTCTTGCCACATAATGTAGGACAAAGTGGGACCTGTATTAAAAAACGACGTCGTTGGAACCACGAAATTTTTATATCAGCAGCATTGCTAGCTGATAACAGTTGATGGTTGTACGTGGTGTTTGTTCGGGATGAATCGAAGGATTGCAACGCCAACTACTCCGGCTTGCTTCCTTACTATTGGTAGCATCACCTCTTTACGGTTCGAATTGAACCATAAAGCTATGGTAATCACCATGAAAGACAGAAGCAAGAATCGAAAGCCGCTGCAAAAGGGTAGGAATCTGAGCATCGAAGCAATTCAAGCGGTGCAGGCGTTGAAGCGAGCCAACCGTAACACTTATAACAGTTCATTATCGGAATTGGAGCGCGTCTTTGACTCCAAGTTCCGGCGCTTATTAAAGTTCGATATGATGGCTGTTCTCCGGGAACTCCTCCGCCAAAACGAATGCCTTTTGGCTCTCAAGGTTTGTTGCATTCTTAATTTTGTTTTCCTTTTATTGTAATTCGTAGTCAAATAACTGGAGAAATATGAAATTGAAGTAAAAATTTTGCATCAATTAATCTTAATTTGGAGAATAATGGTTTCACTGATTAAATTTTCTGTTATTGATTGGATTCAATTGGGCTTTAATTATTTACCCTTTGATTTTCATTTGTGTTAATCAGAAACCTAAATTAGTTTAATTGATTATTGTTGTCTAGGTTTTCGACGATATTCGAAAGGAGGTATGGTACAAGCCTCAGGTGTTGTTATATGCTGATATGATTGCAGTGTTTGCCAGCAATGGGTTGTTTAAAGAGGCTGAGCTTGTGTACTCATATTTGAAAACAGAAAGAAGTTTAGATCCTGATATCATGGGTTTCAATGCTCTATTCAATGCTTTGATAAGTTTTAAGCTCACTCACCTTCTGATGGATTGCTATGGGTTGATGAGAGCTGTTGGGTGTGAACCGGATAGATCATCGTTTAGAATACTCATAAATGGTTTGGAATCGATAGGCAAAACGAGTTTTTCAGCAATTTTAAGACAGGATGCTCAGAAATGTTATGGTGAATCTTTGGAGTTCTTGGAGGAGGAAGAAGAGGTTACAGCTCGCTATTAACTGATTTGGTCGGACTATTGATTAATCATTGTTTGTAAGAGGTCTGGAGCCATCTTTCTTGGGACCGTATGTTAAACTAGTTGAATTTAAGATAGAGATTGCTTGCCGGGGTTGTTTTTGTATGTTACCTAGTATCTATAGGTGTTATTTTGGTAGAGCAATCTTATTTGTCTTGGAAATAAGATGCCAATTACTAGCATTTCTCTTTCTGTGAAGTAATACTACCAGTTTTTGCAGATCCCATGTTTTTGCTACTTATCAGTCTATTCTTTAGTTGTTATCCCAGCCTCTCAGCCTCATGAATCAACTTTTGCTTTGTGCTGGTAGAGCCTTGTTGGGATAGGTGCCCTTTGGTGGGCATTCCACATAGCTGATTTCCATATTTTGCGGCTAACTAGCTTACTACTACTGTGGAAGCAAACTATGCGGTGCAGCATCTAGAAAGACACCCTAAAGCAAGATCAGAGAATTCAAAGTGGGATTTATATAACATTGCTCTTAAATAAGTATTATACATTGCATAGATAATTTGCTCTCTAATGACTATATTATAAAGTGACAAAACTGGGACCTTCTATTCTTGTTTCTTTTACCGTTTTCTTCTACAACTTTTTCTTTTCTTTTGACTATTATGCTGAATCCTTGGCATAACTGGAGATGTTCTCACTTCTCTCTCTAACTCGTTGGTTTTGAACTTGTAGACCTCTTCAACACAGATCTTACATATGATCAGATCTTTATGATTCCAGCAATGGTTCAGAGCCGGAGGTGAAGTTATCTCTGCCATCCATCTTTCCATATATAAAAATCTCAAATATTGTCGCCTTACTTGAACTGTTTTCCTTCATACGTCTGACCAAACTGCCAATTTGCTGGAGCAACACTGTAAGATGCAACTGTCCTGCCAGTACTGGCTGTTACTTCAAAAGAAAGTGGCTGTCCTATAAGATTAATATTGCTCTGCCAGTTTTGTCCCCAGTTCCTTGCCAATGGTATCCACCCCGTTTTCGGGCCTTTAACTTTCACTGCTACTACTTCACCATCCAATCCCACATTGGTAATCAGGACCTGACAGAAGTGAGCACTCCCGCTCATTGTAAATCTTATCCCACCCCTTCTTTCACACTTCACCCTGCACAATGTTTGCAGAAACAGTGATTTCTTTTATGCAAATATATGGAAATTTTCTTAAAACTTGCCAAACGGTTATAGTTTGATATGTTGTACCTCTTATACTGAACTGGCACAATATCTGCTCTTTTCTCTGCAATTTCAGCAAATGCTGCCTCAGACATCTCAAAGTGTTCTTTGGGGAAATTGCACCAGCCACCATAATCTGCTGAAAGCCCATAATTCGGTGGACAGAAATCTGTGGCAGTAAGGATGACTGAGGGGCTTCCTTGGAGACACCACAAAATGTGGTCAACACATCTGAGCTCAAAGCAAGCTCCACAGGTACTCCCTCTGTTGAATAACATGGTACTTAGTCCAGCACTGTACTTCCCATAGCTGGCCTTGTGAAGGTCCCCATAACCACAAGCTCCTTCTGCAAGATCAGACCGGTTCTGTTAGCTGGAATTAATTGTAGCTTTTGGTATCAATTTAGAAAGTTGTTAATATAAAAGCGCATTGTGTGTTTAAAACTTGGGAATGGAAAATTGCAAAAGAAAGTACCTGTGATGATTGATCCGTCCGTTTCTTTGGTATATGTTGCAGTAGCTGACTTCCATTGTTCCTCCTTGGAAATGACCTGGGATGTTAGCAGTAGAATCAAATAGATGACGGTAAGTTGAAGGGCACCCATTTGAGATAATGAGGTCTCTCAGAACTTTGAGTTGTGCTTCAATATGGTTCCTTTTTCTTTTTCCCTCTTTATTGGGATTGTTGTGAGAAGAAGGGTAAAGAAAGCCCTTTTCCCTTAGGAAAGGACCTCAACTTCCTTGGTGAGGTGCAGCTAGGTCTGTTGTTAACTTGTAATTGATCTAGGTGGAAACCGCATTCAAAGTACAAAGTTTGAACTTGGGCCAAAAGACAACCAGAGCGATGGAGTCCTTAGTTCACATTGTGGGGTCACTCGACGAGAGCCTGATGGAGGAGGGTATCTTTGTCTACAATGGAAAAGAAGGTATGCTTTATCTTTTCATTTCTTCTCTTTAGTTGGTAATGAGACCGAAAAAGCGCGCGCAGCCTGCAATTTGCGACATAGTTAAGAGAGCAAGGCCAGAAGGGTTTAAGGCTTTGTGATGGTGGCAGACAGGAAAAGCTGAAAGTCTGAGAATAAGATAAACCAGGACTGTTAAGAATCCTAAAACATAGTTTTAAGCGGTTTAGATTTGTTTGTAGCAAACACTCAAAGAAAGTCAAGATACATCCATCGCTCTTCTTTTTAGGAGAGAAAAAAATAAAGAGGGGAGGGATTTGACAGGGAAAAAGGGTTTTGACTGTTGGGAGGCGCTCACCAGTGAAGAACAGTAGCAAACACCATAATCTTATAACTAGGTGTATTATTCAGTATTTTTGCTTGACATCATCAAAGATGAAGGGGAATATAAATATATATTTTTTTGTTTAGGCCAAAACTTTAGTATAAATAAAAAAAAAAAAATTTGATTCGAAATTAAATTTTTGATATTTTTTTAAGTATTTTTAATCATTAGATTAAAAGTTTGGAACGAAGGAAACATAAATATTGTTTTAGAAAATTGTTAAAAAATGTTAGAAGATATTTGTTAAAAGGATATTTATAAAAAGATTTTTATAATTAATATATTAATTCTTCTTGAATTTAAGAAAAATAATGCATGAAAAAATATTTCTTAAAATAAAAATTTAACGGATATAGATTTAATAAAAGTTAAATAGTATGTTTCATATGTGATATATTTACATAAATTATGATATGATAATTTTTATATTTTATATATGTTTAATACAAAAAAATATATAATACAAATATACAAATTATTAAATAAATAAGATAATATGAATTAAGCAAAAGAATTAATAAAAACGTTCAAAGAAAAATTCCATAATCAAATAAATTCTTATCATTTTATTTTAATTTTAAAATATTTATTTTTATCGATTGAGCTTTTGTCAAGTAAAATTTGATTAGCCATTAATATTAATTTATATCAAGTTAAAATTTTAATTAAAGTGAAAATAAATATTTAAAAATTTAATATTTAATTGATTTGAAATAAAAAAAATTTAAGATTTGATTAATTATAACAAAATATTAAAAATTGAAGTGGTTTTTCTTTTTTTTTGAGTTTATTGGCCCTTTAGCCATTATAAATTAGCTCAAGTGGACTCAAGTGGGCCACTGTAAGGCGTGAGCGCTCTACCATTGTTGCCCGAATTGGTTGCCACTTGTTTGAAATGTCATTTAACTTGAATCTATCCATCCGGCTATTACTAAGTTAATAACAGCATTTTGGGATTGGGATTCTTTCATTGAAAAAACTAATAAAAGACCTAAACAAAAGAAAAATGAAATTAGTTGGATCATGCTAAATTATAGCACAACAAATTTCAAATATGTTCCTTCAATTTTGGGATTTATGTTTAGGCTAAGTAGCAAATTATAGCGAATTTTGTCTTTTATGCTTGCTACAACTACCTGGCCCAACCTGGAGAAACTTTCAAACAAAGGTCCATCAGAACCAGTCCGAGCCGCACACAGATATCTCCATGTGAGCAGCAGAGCCCACGTTGTCAGCTCAATGTAGTATCCTGGGTCCCAATTTAACTCGGCTGCACCGAATTTAAGTCGACGGGTGATACTAGAGCAATCTAGTTCTTTCCCCTTTTTCTTTTTTATCCTTCTTGATGATGAAAAAAGGGTGTATCTAATAGTAAAGAAATTATTCTATGTGATTAAATATATCATTATTGTTTAAAAAAAAACTCGAAAAAACAACTTGAATTATATCAACACCATGACAAAAATGTGAGCCTTACGGGCATGGTGTTTATGCTTTAAGTGTCCAAGCATGTTTGTAGTCATACCATACATACTATAATATCCTTCAATGGGACAAAGCAGCTAACAGGGGTGTTGTTCCCTTTGTCACGAATGACTATGGAACTGTAGCCGTTGCAGCTGCCATTGCTGCTGCTGCTGCTGGAGTTTGGCTTGTTGAAGTGATACAAGTTATATGTCGTTTGTTCCAGTGTTCCTTCCCTGTAGACAAACACACTATCATCTTCTTCCATACATCTCCACTTCCTGCTCCGGTCATGACTCCGATGAAGAGGCATTCCCCTGAAGGAAAAAAAAAGGAATCATTATAAACTATTAGTCATAGAAAGGCATTGAGCTCGAAAAACATTAATTAATTTAAAATCCAGGATTTTGCATGAATTTGTCAGTAAAGATGCTTCAGTAAAGCCTGCTAAACTTTATTTTTATATTTGCAAAGATTAAAGATATTTACAAGGGTCACACATGTACTACCTACCTCTATCAGAATAAATTATACTAAAAGATATAGATCAACCTTGCATTCATTTAAATTTATTGAACAAAAAGCACCCTCCAGACCTGTGAGAGCACTCTAATCGAGCTCCAAAACGAACCAAAGGTAAGAAGAAAAGTGGGAAAATATTCTACTAACAAGCATTTTAGGGAGATATGGTGGGATAGCTTTCTAAGATTAATTGCTAAAGATATTCAATCTTAGTTTTTCTCATTTTACTTGCTACAAAGAGATTAAACACATTCCTGCTAGCTAAACAATGGAAGAAAATCAGTAAACCCAAAAGCTTGTTAAGCCTAGCACTTGGACTACATTACTAAGCCAGTAGAAAGTCAAGGAATATCATTGTCAAGAAATATACTGTGAAAAGGGTTTCTCCAAAGACAAAGAGAAGAAACTTAACACAGGTTTTTAGTGTATAATCCCAGTAAGGTCGGAACTTTGGTTGGTAAATACTATGAGAGTAGTTGTCTCAGATATCAAAACTCAAAGTTAAAAACTGAGGCTTACTCATACTGTTTATCTAATCGCCTCAGCACCTATAATCTTTTCTTTTATCTCTTTGTTAGGTTCTTAGTACAAATTCAAAGGTAGCAACATCATTCAAATGCAAATTCCATTTGAAAATGTAATAATTTTTTTGGCTAAAATCATCACAGAGTTTTAAAGTGAATTAAGAATGAATAACAGAAAGCTGTTCACAATAAATAACTGGTTCCAATGCACACAATAAATGTGGAACAAATAATTAATCTTCCTATTTGGACATGACATAGTGATTTTCCAACAAACAGACTTTAAGACAGTAAACGGAACTAATTAAAATGTTAGTGCCAAAGAAAATAAAATGAATTGCTAGCTTGATTGAAGGAAGAGAAAAAAGAAAATGATCCGTACCTAATGTGAAAGAGTTCAGAAATATCGCACTTCTCGAGATAAAAGTTAAGGGCATCAAGGAAGGCGCGATAGGTGTAAATGTGGAGCCCATCGATCCTGGGGTAAGGCAACTTCGGTCTAGGGGGGTCCGTCGTAGGCAGCTCACCTGCCGTGGAACCCAAGCAAGACGAAGACTTGGACCGCCAGGAAACCACAGGCAGCGACGCCGCGTAAACGTACTCCTTCCAGAGGAGCGGAGAACTTCCCTGGTCTGGCGGGAGTCCGACGAAGCCCATGGTAGCCATGATGGGCTCGAGCTCGTCGTGCGTCATGAGGGGTTTGAAGGTTTTGGTGTACCAAAGCGCCAGCTTTCTCATGCAAAGTATCATGCAATCCTCCATTGTTGTGGGGTTCTGAGAGAGAAATGGAAAAGGGATTGCCCAGGAAAAAAAAGGTTTGGTTTTGTAAAGGTAAGGGAATAGGGAGATCGATTGTAGGGATCCAAAGTGTTGCTTTTGGAGGGTGGATTTGAAATGGCTTCTTTATTTATTTGACACCTTACTTGACATCTATTTACTCCCATTACCAATCACATTAAAATCAAATATGGTCAAACTCAATTATCAAAATCCCCTTTTATGTCCCCCTTTTTTTTTTAAATTTTTAGTGCACAAATTATTAATAAAATTGTCCGTAAATTCTCATACTTAATACAAAGTTTAGAAGTAAAAACTTTTTATTAGAGTAATTAATATTAAATTTTTATTAATTTTCACAAGCATACCATTGAAAATATAACTTTAATAGAAATTTTATGAAATTATGCTAGAAATAAAATTTTAACTCAAATTATATTAGAAATTAGATTAAATTATATTAGAAATTAGATAATGTGTATATAGTTGTATTAAAAGATTTGGATCTAGTTGACCCAACACTTTTGTGACTTAATACCCATGAAAGTTCTTAAAGAAAATATATTAGCAATATAATATTTATGTCTTTTATCTTAAAATAATTTATGAATTATTATTTTATATATACAAAATTTAAACGTTTTATAAATGAATTAAAGTATTAACATATGTTCTTATTTTTAGTATACGTTATTATTTTTTTAAAATATATCTTGAAGATTGTGTCTACCTTTTATCTGTGGTAGAATTTAAAATTTTTATCAGATAAATTTTCTTAAGTAGTTAATCTCGTTTTTTCTAAAGAAATTTAAAATTGTTAATGTTCCAATATGTTTTTATTTTGTTGCTTGCTTTTTACCATGACATTTACTTTTTCACCTTTACCGACTAGGTAATGGTATTAACAAATAATTCAAAATTTATTTTTTATATTTGAGGAATAATTTAAAATTGATACATCAAATTATACATATATTTCATGTATTAATATATTCAATTTATACTCTTTCTAACTTATAAAAATTGTCTTAATTCTAATTTTAATTTTTTTAATATTTGATAAAATTAAATTTTACATAAATACGTATTTGAAAATTAGTTTACTTACATTTAAAATATATGTATTTTAAAAATTTTAATTAATAATGATTTTATAAAGCATTATGTTAGCTTTCAATTGATTAAAAGTTTTGATTTGACAAAACAAAAATTGACCTAATTTGAATCAAATTTTTTTAATCTTAAATTGAACATTTTTTCAGCCTTCTATCTTGTCAAAATTCATTTAAGAACTAAAACAAAGTAAATTCTCGAAATAAAATAGATCAAGGCATATTTTGGATAGAAATAATCGATCCCATAAGGGAAGGGATCGATCCCCTCCCTTAATTAATTGATCTCCTAGATAAAAAGATCAATCCATTTTTCTTCTAAAAGCTAAACTCGTGGAATTTAAGCAAAAACCAATCAATCCCCTCCCTGTAGGAATCGATTGGTTAAGATTTCAAGCTTACCCGATCGATCCCTCTCTTAAAGGGATCGATCTCTTTTTTATATAGAATGCTATACTCGGTTGAAAATATATAAAAAGGATCGATCCTTCCATATAAGAGACCAATCACCTAGGCATGGGATCGATCCTTCCCTTAAAAGATCGATCTGTTTTTCATACAGAATGTTATTCTCATTTAAAAATTCAGAAAAGGGATCGATCCCCTCACATAAGGGATTGATCACCCAAGGAATGAATCGATCAAGTATACTACCTGATCAATCAGGTAAAATTTTTAACACACAAAATCAGACCTCTCTATAACTGACCCAATCGATCCCCTACATGATGGGATCGATCCTCTTATGCCCAAAAAGCCCTAACGGCTATTTTTTTTATTTGATATTTTACAGATTTGAAGTATTAAATGCAAAGCAACGGCTTTCAACTCTTTCCTACATATAAATGAAGGCTTTCACTGTAAATCAATAGTATAAATTGCTAAGAGAACTTATTGCCTTCACTAACCATCTTGTTCAAGATTCAAACTAATTCAAAAGAGAGAAAAATGTAGAAAATCCTTCTTGTATTAGTTTTTCTCTAAATTTTCTTGTCAATACTACTTTGTACTTTAAATTAGCAAACACCAAACCTTAGAGAGGTCTTTTAAGTTTGCATAATATTTTAAAAACTCTATATTGAAAGATTATGAGCTTAAGGGGGAGGATAACCCTTAAGAGTTTGTGGTATTGATTGTGTAAAACTTTGAGAAGCTAGGTTGTATCTTTCAAAACATAATGGATTGAACTCATTGGCAAGTAAGGCTAAAAAGATGACGTAGATGCCTAAAGAAAGGACTGAACCTTTATAAATCTTGGTGTCTAATTCTCTATCTCTATCTCTTGTTTACTCTCATTTATTATGTTCATTTGCTTAGATAAATTATTTTACAAAATTTTTGCTTATTAAATATTAATTTTTAAAAATTTTATTATCAACCAATTCACCTTCTTCTTGATTTATTTTAAGTCTTTGAATTAACAATTGATATCAAAACTAGTACTATTTTTTATATATCTAACAACCTAAGAGTGATCCTAAAAATAACTCAAAGAAATATAGTGATCAATGTGAAACAACCATCCTCAAGCTATAACAAATATAGTGGGCAACAAAAAATGTGTCTCATGACAAATGAAACAATTGCAACATTTCTTAGAAGTAAAGGCCATTCAATTGTAAAACATCATTTCTTTGTTGGTGACAACTACTTCTATTGGAAGACTAGGATGATGTTATTTATTTAAGCCAATGATTATAAAATTTGGAAGGTTATTGTAAATGGTCTTTAAATTCCAATGAAGATGGTAGATGGTAGATGGTAGAAAGGTGATCAAGTAAGAGAGTGAATGGGATGCCAATGATATTAAGATGACTCAATTTAATGCCAAAGCAATGCATACACTCTTTTATGCATTGAGGTCTAATGAGTACAATAGAGTTTTTTGTGTGAAAATATAAAAAAAATTTAAGATAAGTTAGCTGTCACTCATAAAGGTACAAATCAAGTGAAAAAGATAAAAATTGGCATGCTCACTCATGATTATAAGTTATTCAAGATGAAATCAGATGAAAACATTAGTGAAATGTCAAACCATTTCACCAACATTATTAATGATTTAAAGACTCTTAGGAAGACTTACTCAAATGTGGAGATGGTGAAAAAAAATTTTAATAATCTAATAAAGAGCTAGGAAGCTAAAGTGACAGCCGTTGAAGAGTCCAAAAATCCTCATACACTTTTTATGGATGAACTAATAGGTTTTCTCCTAACCTATAAAATGAAGCTCAAAAAAGGACAAGAACCAATCAAGAAATGTGGTATTACTTTTAAATCTACCTTTTAAGAAAATAAAAAAAATCTTAGACAAGAAGAGGATGATGAAGTTGAAGAGATGGCCATGTTTGTAAAAAAATTTAAGAAGTTCGTGAGGATGAACAAGTCCTCAAGTAGAAGAAGACCATAAAAGGAAATAATTAAAGAAAAATCAAGTAGAAGAGAAAGAGATAAGATTATTTACTATGAATACAACAAACTGGGTCATATTAAATTTGATTGTCCTTTATGAAAGAAGCAAAACATGACAAAGCCAAAAAAAAAAAGTAATAATTACAACATAGAGTGATAATGACTTATCCGAAAATGAATCAAATAAGGAGAAAGTAGCCAATCTATGTCTCTTGGCTCTTAATGAGCGTAAGGTAACTTTTAATCCATATGATTTAAATTCATACATATTTGATGAATTACAAGATGCTTAGGATGAATTAGCCATAGAATTTGAGAACATGAACATGAAATATAAAAAAAAAAATGATCTCTAAATTGAAATTAGAAAATGAACTTTTGACTAAAGCAAAGAATGACTTAAAAAAGAACATTGAGCTCTTAAAGTTGAATATCAATGATTTGACTAAGAAAAATGAAAATTTGCATAACTCATTTTCTAGATTTTATATGGGACATCAAAAGTTCAATGACATGCTTGAAACACAAAGAATATTATTTGATAAAGATGGATTAAGCTATAATGGTGGCAACAAAGAGATTTATTTAAAGAATTTCCTTATTAAGTTAAATAATTCATCTAGCATATGTGCATATTGTCATAAATTGGGTCATTCTATATAATATTATTCCTTGAAAAAAGTCACTTATAGATGTAGCTCATTAAGAGAGTGTGAATTTCAAAAAGAGTTAGCACATCTCAAGATGAGATTACTAAAATGAAGTGAATTTCAAAAGGCATAAAAATTATTAATACTAACACTCAAGGACCCAAAAAATTTTAGGTACCAAAAATAAAAATTTAATTGTATTTTTGTAGATAGATAAGCATTGTTACAAAGTAAATTCAAGCAAGAACAATCCATGGTACCTTGATAATGGATGCTCAAAACACTTGACCGAAGATAAAATTCTTTTTAAGGACTTAAAAGCTAAAAGTAAAGGAGATGTTACATTTGGTGACAACTCTAAAGGCTAAATTAAAGGGATTGACTCCATTGGTAACAATTCTTTTACTACTATTAAAAATGTTTTACTTATAAAAGGACTTAAGCATAACTTACTTAGTATTAATCAATTACGTGACAAAGGACTTAGAGTTATGTTTGAATCCATGTGCTGTCAAGTGGTTGATATCAAAACTAACAAACTTATTTTTGTTAGACATTACTAAAAAAACATTTATGTAGTGCATCTAGATGATCTTTCCTCTAAAAATGTTTGATTTATGGCTAAAAAAAAAATAAAAGTTGGATTTGGCATAGAAGACTTGGACATGCAAGTATGCATATAATTTCAAAACTTTCTCAAAATGATTTGGTTGTTGGTTTGCCAAAATTGAAATATGAAAATGACAAGGTTTGCGATGCTTGTTCTCAAGAAAAACATAGACAATTTTTTCTCAAACCTAAGAATTGCATTTCAACTACTAGACCTCTTCAACTACTTCATATTAATCTTTTTAGTCTTATTAAAACAATGAGCTTGGTGAAAAATAATATGGGTTTGTTATTATTGATGACTTTACTAGATTCACATGGGTTCTCTTTT